GAGCCGCCTGGTGAGGATATTACCCTGTGCCAAGGCTCTGCCTCACCTGTGCCCTCCCTTCTGGGGATTCTCCAGAAGGTCAGGGTGCTGTGGGGAGTTAAATGATAGGCAGCAGAGTTACATTGGCCAATACCCACTACAGTTTTTGCCTCTGACGCCAAACCCAACCCTCATGTCCCAGAGTGGCACTAGGCCTTCCTTATGTTCCCAACCCCTGTTCCACAACCCTCCATTTGGCTGCCAGCGGGACATTGCCAGTTGCCTTGCGGACTCCACTTTCTCTACCTGGCCCTTTTCTGTTGTGGCCCTTGCCACTGCATGGTGATTGGTGAGTTTCTCTCTTAAACGAGGGGCGCCAACTACTGGGCAGGTGGCACATGCGAGGTTGGGGCACAAGCTTGGAGCATGATTTAGTCATCTGCTTTGCAATTGTTTTTGCTCCTTAGTCTTAGGGAGATGTAGGGGTGTGGTGCTCAACAGAAGGGAACTTTGGGGTACAGTTGGAGTGGTTTATTTTTGCCTAACCGCTTAGGGACCGGACTGGGTGAGAACCCTCTCTGTAGACTCTGTTCACCCTTGCACCATCCAAAGATACTTCCAAGTGAAGTGGCTGGGGCCTGCCTGTCATTGTGAAATGATCATGCTGGACCGGTCTCTCAATGTCTCCCTCTCCATCTTGCTCAACTTTTCGTCTCCTGTTTCAGAGGCACCTTGGAGGACAGGACAATGTGTGGGCGGGGTGTGGGAGAATGGAAGTACAGGCCAGGTCTGGCTGTCTGAGTACTTTCTCTGTGTCGGGCTCTGTTTTGGTGACATCCCTGTGGCTGCCAACTCGAAATGCTAGCTCATCTGCTTGTTGACTGGCTGGCTTTGGACAAGCCGCTTAACTTCTCTGTTGCTTTACTTCCTTGTCGCTAGAGAGGAAATGACAAGGACAGCTGCATCAAACGGTTGGACATAAAATGAAGATGTCTCTGTAAAGTGCTGAACACAATCATTAAGGCTTGAAATAGTTTATTGTGCCAACCTGGCCGATAAACACATGTGGGGTTAATTGAAGGGTGGAGGGATAAATGGCTCAGTGAGCCTCGCCTTTCTAGTTCTCAGGTCTCTTGCTTTCTGATGGTCGGACCAGGGTGCAGCTGCCTTACTCAGTTCCCTGCTTTAGCTGGCAAGGTTCACTTTCTGCAAGACATCCCTGAGGAGAAGCCACATGGACCTACCCCGATGCAGCCCTGGGTGCTGGAGCACCCGTGTGGAGACCCCTCCCAGCGCTGAGATGCTTACACATTCACTGACTCATCTTTCCTCCTGCAGTCGGCATCATTGCGTCTGTTTTGTGAGATGGAGGAGGACTTTGTGGATTGGTGTTGGACATCTGAGTTAATTAATGTTGGACATATGAGTTAATTAATGTTGGACTTGTGGGCTTGGGCAGCACTGGGTTGGGAAGTTTTCTTGATGTGCACTTACCCTGTATATAAAACTCTTATACATGAGTTTCTGTGGACTTGTTTAAAGTACCCAGACTAATACAAGGCTTCATAAATGCTAACAGTTAGTTAGTCCTTTTCTCTTAGCCAGCTGCTCTTCACTGGCACAGGTCGTCTCTTGATTTCAGTTCTAAGTGTGTAGGCTTTACCTCTGTCAAAGCAGTGATAGCATCAGGGGCACGAGCCTTTCAGATGTGCCGAGCCAAGAATCTGATGCCTCGCAATCAGGGTTAGGGAAGGCTTGGAGGCTGGGTTGCCTGGCTGAGCTGAGGGTGAGGCCCTTGCATGGGTGGGGACACATGGTATAGTTCCTGGTTGACCCTGACTTGGGCAGCCAGCGCGCCTGTGAAAGGAGCATTGGATTGGGAGAGAGCAGGGCGTCGCCAACCTGCCCACTGATCTACCCATCTGAGATCAGAGCACAGCGCCACCTGCAGCCCTTTCTGGTATTTAACTAGTTCTCTGACTCCCACTTTCCAAGTGCTTTCTTTATACATGTTAAGTCTCCCAAAGAGAGTGCTGACTGCCTCATCTGTCCACTCACAGAGTGAGCTTGGAGGTTACAGAACAACCTTTGCAAAAAGTGCCTGCCCAGAGGTTAAACGCCACTTCACTACTGAGGGCTAACCAAGTTGTTTTCCAGTCAGTAACCATGTTTAAACTTAATATGTAATTACACACATGCACATGAATGTGAGGTAACTTGCTGTAAAAAGGCAAACCCAAGGTGGATTTTTAAGCAACATGCACCAGCAGGTTCCTCTTAACACCAGCTACCTCTCTCTCTCTGCATGCTAACATTTACCATCTAGCATCTCTCTCTAGGCAAATGTTTTTCTTACCTATCCATGAGCCTTGGGAGGGAAATGATTAAGATGCACACAGTAGGGCTTGCCTGTGCCTTGTGGGATATGTCTTTATTGATTTGTTCAATGATTTTAAGAGGGGGGAAGAAAACTTCAGGAATGCAACAAATTGTCAAGACAGAAGGTCTCATTTGGGAAATAGTGTAATGATTTGGTTAGAAAAGTATACTTACAAATTATAGCCAGGCAAAATAGTTCCCTGGTGAGCCAGTTACACTGTCAACATGCTTTCTCTGAGCGTGATCTTCAGTAGTGGCATTGAGATTAATATTTACCCTGAGATGGATTACATAAGCTCCCCAGCCCCTCAACACACGATGTTTTATTGCCAGTCCAAGGCTGCTTTGCCGCTCTCTCCAAGCTTATGCTGAGAGGAAATAGTGGAAATGGAAAGTCCAAGGAAGGTCATTTAAATGGTGGGCTAAGGGGTTGGGGTGGGGTTCATGGAAAAGAGACTCGGGCAAACTTAAGTGCCAGCCCACTTTGTGGTGGATGTAGGGAGCCTTGGCCAAGTTACTTTATCTTTTTGAACTTTGGTTTTTTTCCTTATAAAGAAAAGTGATAAGCCTGATTCTCAGGGTTCTCAGGGTACCGGTATTAGTGATCATGATTAACATGATGCTGTCTATGGACAATCAGTTTGAGTGAATTCCATTTCAGTTGTCATCTGTATATTTTCATTTTAAAGAAAAACAAAAATATTTTTATCAGAAAATGACTTTTATCATCCAGTTTTTGCTTGTAAACATTGCGACCACTGGGTTTTAGGCAAAGTTTAAATTTTTGGATGCTAATCTGGACATTAGAGGATCCCTGGTGGCCTAGTAGTTATGAGTTAGGTTGCTAACCACAAGGTTGCAGTTCCAAACCACCAGTCACTCCTTCGTGGGAAAGACAGGGTTTTCTGCTCCCCTAACAAAGTTAGTCTCGGGGTCTTTTTTTTATTTTTATTTTTTAAGTCAGTCTCAGAAACTAATGGGGACAGTGGGCAGTTCTACCCTGTCCTGTAGGATCACTGTGAGTTGCCATTGACTCACTGGCAGGGAGTTTAATCTGGACATTTTCGCCTTTTCAAAATTAAAGTTATATTTTTTAAAAGCTATGAAAGAAAGAGACATGTTGTTATATGCTAAGCTTCGTCAAAACTGGCACTTTGCAGAAATTTCATCCATCAGCCCAGTGTTCCCAGATTATTCAGATTTTAAAAAAAAACTGTCAGTGTCTGGCTTCCATTTTTACATTTGCATGAAAGTTGATTCTGAGAACATTTCAGTGAGTCAGTGATGACGTGTGTGGTAAAATACACAGATCTCAGTATTTATTATCTTAACCATAAGTGCACAATTCAGTGGCATTTACTACATTCACTTACTGTAAACCATCATCGATATTCTCTTTCAAATGTTTTCCATATCTCCCAATAGAAACTTGGTTGCCCCTGAAGTAATAATTCCCTAGATCCCCTGGCAAACATTAATAAACATTTGCTTTTCTGAAATGCCAATTTAAAGTACCAGGGTGCTTGGTGCTTGGAGAGGTACTTGGTGCTCCAAGTGAGGGTTTTTGTCATTCAAGTGAGGGTTTTTGTCATGTACTGTGGAGTGGGAATAGTGGTGACACCATGGTAGAATTCTCCCTTGCCATGCAGGAAACCCAGGTTCAATTAATTCCCAGCCAGTACACCTCATGTTTAGCTACCATCCTGCCTGCCAGTGTCGGTTGGGATTTTCCTATGATACTGAACTAGTTTCAAGGGAGCTTTTAGACTAAGGCAGTAGGATGAAAGGCCTGGCAATCTAATTCTAGCTCTCAGTTGGTGGCAGCTTTGTTGATCACAATGGTTTGACCTACAACCCATCATAGGAAGGGCCCAGGGCAGAGTAGCCTTTCGCTCTCATGTGTGATGCTGTTGACTTGATTCTACCTCATAGCTACCCCTAGCACAGGGTAGACTGCTGCCCTGTGGGGTTTCCAAGGCTGTAATCTTTGCAGAAACAGACTGCCACATTTTTCTTCCTCAGAGCAGCTAGTAGGTTCAAACTGTCACCCTTTTAGTTCATGGTTAAGCACTTAATCACGTTGCTTCTAAAGCCCCTTCCCTTGCACATAGGGCCACCAGAAGTCCCGCACTGACTTTGGTAGCAGCTAACAGGGACACTCTTGGTAGCAAAAGATGCAAGAGATGCCAGAACAACAGTTTACTACATCTAATGTGGCAAAATCATCTTCCACGTGTTAAAAACGGACCTAACACAGCCAAGACTCACTAAGAGGAAACTAGCAAGATGATAAGGTAGCAGCTCAAAGGCAAATATAAGAAGCTGGCTATTGACAGAAGAGAGGAGGGAATGCAGGGGAAAAATGGCAGATTTAAATAATCTGGTTCATGCCCTACAGTAGTGAAAAAACCACAGGCTGGGGTATTTTTTTCTCCTAGCCAGAAATCACCTACAACTTACTGGTTTTCCCATTAACATCTAACCTTGCAGAATCCAGGCCCTTGTCAGCAGTGAGTAAAAAGTCAGATAGTTACAGTCTAGAGAGCTGCAGATGGGGCCCTCTCTTCCTCTCTGATTGTTTTTGGTTTTGACATTTTTAATTGTTGGACAGGTTTTTTTTTTTTAGTCACATTTGGGCTCAAGAGCTTAAGAAAAAAAAGAGATACCAGGATCTTAAAGGTGGTTTTCCCAGGACGAGACGTATCCATTGTACTCCAGATGTGCTGACCCCTGCGATTTCCTCAAATGTGGGAAACTCGACTGCATAATTTGTGGTCATGGGGGACTGCGTTCGTACTCTGCCCTGAGATAAGGGGGTGAAAAAGACTGGTTCTAATGGGGAGAAGTCTTTGGTCAAAGTAATTGCAGGTTGTTGTGAAGCCATGGTCTGGATATGGGGCTGAGAAGCCACACAGAATGGGCAAGGAGGGACATTTCCAGAGTGGGGAAGAACAAAGGTGCAGGGAGTGGGGTAGGGGGCAGGTAAAATGCTTTGTAGTGGGAGCAAGCAGCTGGTAGCAAGCTCTGAAACTCATGGTTAAGAAACTTGATTTGTTGGGAAAAGCTTTTGGACCACACGGAAGCAGTCAGCAAGTAGGGGGTTGCCCTAGAAACCAAGGCAAGGGAATGAAATCCTCTGTGTTGTCACAGGGTCTCAGTGAACCTGGCAGAGGAATGGGCCCTGGGAGGCAGGATCAGAGGACAAGCACTGCTCTGGTTGAAACCACCAGTTGGGTCCAGTCCCAAGCAGACCCTGGAAGCCAGGGTTGTGACCGAGCTGGGCCCTCTGGGGCTATTCCCGGTCTTCTGTAGGCCTTTTTCTCTCCTAGTTGTTAAATGTCTTGTTTCATTTTTATGTCGTATTTGTTGCATATAAAGGAACATATGACACGATTGTATATGTCAGGAAGCTCCAGCGTTTAGGACACCCCCTTCCCTCTCTACCCAATTTCTGTGTGTGGTTTCTATGCCAGTAAAAAGAGTTCACTCATCCCTTGCTTAAATAAAGCTTGTCTGAGTCACCAGTTTGTTAGTCAGCATCATTCTGCATCTCCTCCCTCCAGAGGAAGGTGACCCAGAGCCCGAGTGTCTGAGTGGGGTGGGTTTGGACACCAGTCTGCCTGTCAGAGCCCTCACTCTGTGTCATGTCTACCTTGTTCTTGGGGGCCAGCGCTTCTGCCTGGTGGGCAGAGCTAGGCTCCTGGACTCCTCCCTGGGTCCTGGAGAAAGCACTGGTGACCACAGATAACACAGTGGAACTCGATCTCACAACTGACCGTCAGGTTGGGTAAAACTGAAAAGCCCAACCCACCACCCTGGGGTCACCTCGGACTTGTACTGTTCTGCATCTGATTTTTTGTTTTAATGAGGAGTGGGGCGGGATAGGTTTGGTTGGAAATTGGCTCCCAGGTTTGCTTCCCCTGCCCGATGAGTTTCTTTGTAGAACTCAAGCCACACTCCCAGCTGCCTGCACACCTCACAACAAGCTTCTGTGTGTGGGCTGCATATTCCTGCATGACTGTCCCTAGCAGTCACCTATAATCATAGGGATAGGCCCGTTTTAAAGTGTAACACAAAAGCCATGTGACCTCACTACACAGTAGTGAAACATTTACACCCTCGGTTCTACTGTAATGCGACAGATGCATTTCTAAATATCCCATGTCGGGCCAACTCATGCGATAAAGACCACAAGGCTTTATGGGAGAAACGAGGTTGAGGCCCAGCACTCCAAAACTTAATTAATAACAACAAAACCACAAAGACTACTGTACTATTCACAACCAATAAACCAAAAACCAAACCCACTACCCTTGAGTTGATGCTAACTCACAGCGACCCTACAGGAGTAGAGCTGCCCCTGTGGCTTCCCCAGTCTGTTTACTCTTTACCCCACATAGACCCCTAGGTGTGGCTGGTGGTTTCGAATTGCTGACCTTGCAGCTAGCCACCCATCTACCCATCGTGTAACCACTATACCATCAGGGCTCCTTTCACAGTCAATAGGAACCGAATAAAATAGCACAGTTTTTATAGGTACTGAGCAGTGAGGAAGTATATAAGTTTCACAATAAATACGACACTGGTTTGTTTGTGAAGTGGGCAGGGGAAGGTTCCAGCTGTGGGGTACTGTGCTGTGGAGGAAGTAGGGTTGTTTACAATCAGGTGGGAGGTGTAACTCTGGTGGGTTTGAAGTATGCTGGTGGGCCATCTGTGTATTCCTGCACAGCTTCTTGCAGCTGGAGGTGGTTGTCTGAATTTTTTAATGTTTCTCTTAAACCACTACCGTGGAATTGACTCTGACTCATCTGGACCTTATAGGAGAAAGTAGAACTGCCACATCTTTGTCCAGTGGAGCAGTTGGTGGGTTTGAACTGGCAACCTTTTGGGTGGCAGGCAAGTATGTGCCCACTGTTCTGCCTCACAGACTTCATGTTGTGCTCAAATTCTTCTGTGATATAGCTATCACATTGGAACAAATTGGCCTTTTCGAAGTAAAGAGTTGAAGTAAAACTGTCAGAAACACAGTGAATAATACATACTAGCTGATACTAAGTGCCAGGCCCCATGCTGTAGTCTCAGCATGAGTTTTCTGTCAACAACTCCAAAAGTTAGCTATGTTAGTTAGGTCAGCCATGTGTTACAAATGAGAAGGCCAGCTCAGAGGGGTCCACGTGTTCCTCAGATTGCAAAACAAAAAAACAAAAACTCTGACAGCCATCGTGTGGATTTTGACTTGACCCTATAGGACATGGTAAACCTGCCCCTTTGGCTTTTCCAAGACTGTATCTCTTTATAAGAGCAGGAAGCCTCATCTTCCGTGGAGCAGCTGGTGATTTCAAACTGCTGATCTTGCAATTAGCAGCCCAATGCATAACCCACTACGCCCCCATTCTTTTTCCTCAACACAGTAACAGAAATAACAAAGTGCTTGCAGACATAAGACATTCAACCTCTTTAGTACCCAAACTATATGCTGCGCCCCCAACC